TTCCATTTCCAAAATCACAGTTTATACGTAAAAGTTAAAAAAAAGAATCTCACTAACCCTTATCTTAAACAACAGTAATGAACACTTATCTTAAACAACATATTCATCATAACTGGTGACCCATAATAATTGACATAACTCATGATCCATATAACAACATTCCAGTTCAAAAGTTAATCTCCTAAATCAATTTCCCTAAACTACTCAAGATATACACTTTTAGATAAATGACAAATTTACAAAGACGCAAAGAGGATGGAAGACGAGGTGAAAGTCACGTACTACCTAAACCGACCAGAACAGCTGAGTCACCTTAGTCCTGCCCTGACCAACTCCACCTTATTCTCACCACATGTGCTCTCAGAGGGACACAAGTAAGCTAGGTTTGTTTTTTTTTTTTAATTAAATCATAGCTGTGTACATTAATACTGTCATGGGGTACAGTATGCTGTTTTTATATACAATTTGAAATATTTTCATCAAACTGGTTAACATAGCCTTCATGTCATTTTTTAGTTATTGTGTTAAGACATTTATATTCTACATTTAGAAAGATTCACATGTACCCTTATAAGATGAACCATAGGCGTGATCCAACCATTCATCCTCCGTCCACCCATCCTCCCCCTCCCCTCCCCTCCCTCTCCCCTTTCCCCATCTTCTTGGGCTATAATTGGGTTATAGCTTGCCTAGGAAAGCCATGAATTAGGTTCACAGTAGGGCTGAGTACATTGGATACTTTTTCTTCCATTCTTGAGATACTTTGCCAAGAAGAACATTTTCCAGCTCCATCCATGTAAATATGAAGGAGGTAAAGTCTCCATCTTTCCTTAGGGCTGCATAGTATTCCATGGTGTACATATACCACAATTTATCAATCCATTTGTGGGTCAATGGGCACTTAGGCTTCTTCCATGTACCAGAATGTTTATTACAGCCCAATTCATAATTGCTAGGTCATGAACTAGGTTTTAAAGTATCACTCCAGCTGCTGTATTGTCAAAGGTCACTTAGAGCATCACAATGAGACCAAGTGGGCCAAGACAGCAGCCACCCTGGCTAGAGGGGTAGTGACTTAGAGCCAAGGGTGGGTCCTAGATGAAGGTGTGGCCAAATAAGGGACAGTTTATTTCCAGTCCAGAGAAGAGGTCAGAAAGACGTTCAGCTAATATTTGGTTTTGTTAATTCATCACATCACCAGCATACAACCTCTGAATCTGTAGTAAAGTTGGCTACATATACACAGAGTTGGAATCAGTTGAGTGGTTGTTTTTTCTAAGGAAGCGGGTTGGGTAAAGAGCTGGTATCCACCTGTGGGTAGGAATGAAGTTGAGAGAAGAGAACTAGGTTCAATAAAACTAGTCAGAATAGCTCCAGGCTGAGAGAATACGATGACATCCCAGTGTCCTCACAGAAACTCTGCATCAGGCAGGCAGTAGGGGCCTCTGCCATGTCACTAGAAAAACTGAAACACTGAAAAAAGCATGGGGCACCCCATACATTACTAAAGAAAACATACCAGTGGAAACTCCTTAGCTGGCCACCTCCCTCCATTGACTGGACATGCACCACATGTATGTATCACTACAATAGGCCTAGTTCCTTATGTTGACCAGTTTGTTTCAGTCCCTTGGGTGGTACCTTACAGAAGTTCTATTGCATAGCTGTTAAATACTGGTCTTCAGTGGTTGCTCAAGTCAAAATAAATCCTTTCTGGAATTTTATTGGATGGGACTTAACACCTGATCTTGGTCTGATCACTGATAATCCAGTATCAGGAGTGCCACCCTAAATGACTGATGTGTGACCATTTACAGGGCTTTCTAGGCTGGTGGGTCTGCTATGTGCACATCTGCAGCACTGGGGGGGGGGGGGAGGCAGAGCCAGTTTCTCCACAGAGAGTTTCTTGGAGACCCTGAGACAGTCATATGTCACACCTCTCCATACTAGAAAAGGCAGGATAACTTGTCTCCTGCTGGCACCATGAAGTATGTGGGGTGGACTGGGTCCCAAGACATCTTGGGAGGGGATGTATATGTGTTTGTGAGTGCAGGAGAAAAGTGGGGATCAGGTGGGGAGAAAGCAGGGCAGTTAGTAAAGTGGAAATGGGCGTGAGGGGGGCAGATAGGGGGTTTGGGAGGGGTGCTGGGCGGGCCAGGAAGACAGGAGTGGCTCTGTGGCTCCTTTGCCTATACTCCAAGTACTCAGATCCATGCCTCTGTCCAGCCCAGGGTCCAGTTTGGGGGGGAGGGTCTCAGTTTCTCCTTGTTCTCCTGCCCTGACTCTTCTTTCCTGACTTATCTTGTCCTACTTCAGCTAAGGTTTTCTCAGCTTCACTATGTCCAGTCTGCAGGGTCCCTGGCCCAGGCAGTGAAATCGTGAGGTGGCTGGGACAGGAGGGCATGGCCCCCAGAGCACACAGTGGCAAAAGGATGTTGACCCCCTTTCAGGGATTAAAAGTCCAGTCCGATTCATTTTACAACTTCGGTCTTTCTTTGGACATGAGGCTTAATGTTAATGTTACAGTGTGTGCTACATGTAATTATTGGTTTTACCTTGATCATCTGCTTCTTGTCTCAATTAAAATTCTAATGTCAGGGCCAGTGTGCAGTGGCTCACACCAGTAACCATAGCACTCTGGGAGGCCCAGCCCAGAGGATCACTTGAGCTCATGAGCATGAGACCAGCCTGAGCAAAAGCAAGACCTCCATCTCTAGTTTAAAAAAAAAATCTACTTCAGATGTGACCATGATTTGGATTTTGAAGCCACTGCCTGATACTGACATTTTGTAGAAGAAATATGACCATTTCTATTCATCTGCAATTTTAAAAACAATTAAGTTTTGGGCAGCACCTGTGGCTCAAAGGAATAGAGAGCCAGCCCCATATACCGGAGGTGGCGGGTTCAAACATAGCCCTGGCCAAAAGCTGCAAAAAAATAATAATAATAATAATAAGTTTTAAAAGAAAAATCTCAAGTAAACGTGATTTGAAAAACGGAGAAATTTCAAAATGACACTAACACTTTGTTCTTTTTTTTTTTTTTTTTTTTT